AGAGACAGGTGGGGCGTGGGATGCTGTCTGTATTGTGAGGCCTGGCCCAGCAGGGTCCTTGCTCAGCAGCAAACCAGATGGGAAGACGTGTCCCCCAGCCTCTGGGCCCTGACCTTGGAAGTGTCAGTTCTTTGCGAATCTTCTCCTCTGTCCTCTGTCGCCTCTGCTTCCAGCCCCCTCCTCCGCCAGTCACTTCATTATTCCTGCGTTCCCAGAACTTCATAACATCTCTTCCGAGCCTCCAAGCGTCATCTATCTACTCATAGATTATTCTCTCCGCCAAGAATTGATCCCTCCCCTCGCCCACCCGCCCCTCTTCCCCTCCCCTCCGTGGTTATTTTCTCCTGGATCCAATAAATTAAAAATTGATGGCAGCTCAGAAAGTGTGGTGCTGAGTCTGGGGCCCCGGGGACAGGGATGCAAGGTCTTGAGATGTGGGTGTGTGAGGGCCGGCTGCCTGCTGCCTGCTGGCTGCCGCCTCTGGCTTTCTGGGAGGCAGGGGCAGAGTGGACCTGGACTCTGCCAAGGTGTGTGGACCCGGCCCTGTGAGCAGGAGTGGAGTGGCGATGTTGGCATCCCTCCCCAGCCCGTCCCTGCCAGGGAACGTCCTTTCTGCGTGTTTCTCCCTGCCTGGGGCTTAGTTATGAGAGGCAGGGAGGAAACAGGGGGCCCCTGTGGACAGCAGGCAGCTGCCTTGCTGGGCCAGTTTCCCCAAGGGCAGGTATGAAGTCGTTTGTCCCAGACGGTCCAGGGGGATGGATAGACAAATGCTGGCCAGGTCTGGTCAGGCTTGGCCTTCGTAGCTGCCAGGGCCTGGCTGGCCTGCTGGGGCCAGTGTCCACCACATCCTTCTATTTCTGGCTCCTGCCCCAGATTCCATCCCAGCCACGCTGAGGGCAGAGAAGCGTGCAGGAGGATGCAGTATTTCCCAGGCCACTTGAGATGTCACAGCCTCTCAGTGCCCCTCAGCCGGAAGGGGCCAGCCTTGGAAATCAAATGGAGTCTTGCCTTGGAATACATTTACCTCGTCCGTGAATGTGCGTGCACACTTGCGTAGATGCATTTGCACGTGCACTTGGGTGCTGTATGTTAAGGAGGCACAGGCCTTCTGCTTGCTAGCACTTGGGCAAGTGGACCCCTCCGCTCACCCACTTTCCCCCCGTGGAGATATCCCGGCAAAGCCTTCGGCCCAGCTCACCATGTCCGAGAGCTGCGGTAGCTTGCGGGGTGCCTGATTCTTGGGCAGCTTTCACTGAAGAGGAAAAAACAATATCCAACCTCGGAAGCAAACCTCACCTCTGACTCACACTTCTGAGGCCTCTGCTAGTCAGCCAAGGGGCTGGTTCAGGGCCTGGGAATTGGGAGGGCTGTTTGGATGGGGTTTTCCTTCTCTGGGTGCTTCTTGCTCTCTCTGGAGGGGGTGGGGTTGGTCCACCCTGTGTCCCGTGGGGCAGTGGGGAGCCTCCAGGCCCCAGGTACCCACAGGGCAGGGCGAGGAAGGTGGCAGGGGGAAGACTCATGCTTGCTAGCTGTTCCCAGGGCTGGGTGGAGTGCCTGTACCTCTTTTTTTCTCCCACTGCCTGTACAGTTGTGGGGACACCCCCCCCCCCACACCCCTGTACACCCAGCTGGCATCCGCTAGCCAGAGGAAACGAAACCACAGCCTGTTCGGAGGGCCCCTGGGCTCGGCCTGAGCCCTCAATCTCCAGGTGCTGCCCTGTCCACTCACCCTGCCTTCAGGACGGTGACAGTTCTGATGCTGGTTTATTCATTTATTTTAAACTGTGGTAGAATATCAGTAAAACATTCACCTTCTAGTTATTTCTACAAAGCCCTCAAAGAGACGAATTATGCTCCCCAGTAGCCCATCCGTCTTCGAATTTTCTCCTCGCCTCTCCCAGAGGTCCAGCAGGCCTTCGTGTGTCTCCCCGCCTTGCCCTCCACCTGCTCCAGGCAGCTGCTGGCCGACCCCAGGGCTGTGGGCAGTGGACTCTTCCAGAAGCTTCCTGTGAGGCGGTCAGACCGCGCTGCCCCTGGCTGTCCGATTCCCTCCAACAGGCCTCATGTTCTCGGGGTTCAGCCGGGCTGTAGCGTGGATCACAGCTTCGTTAGTCCTCAGGACGTGATGTGTGTAAGCCACGTTGTGTCCTCACACGTTGCCGCACGCGCTTTGAGCGCGTTATGAAGAGGGGCTGGGGGAGGATGTCGGGCTTGGAGAAGCAGAGGTCAGTGAAGGACAGGACAGTCTCTTCCCAGAGAAGGGCTTGAGCACAGCAGAGACGGCGGCTGGAGCGGGGCTGGCCTGGGGGTTTGCCTCTTGTACAACAGGCTGCTGTGCGTCGAAGCCCATTCTGTGGCACCCAGCAACAACACCACCAACACCAACACCATCTTCAACATTGTTCCGACTCCTTCACTCTTTCTCTGCTGTACAGAGAACTGCCAGGGTCCCATCTCAGAGCCGTGGCAGGAGGGATGCCCAGAGGAAGTTGCATTCTTTGGGGCTGTGTTGACACCCCTGTCATCTTAAGGAATTTGGCCTTCGGATGTCTAGAGATTTTTAAAACAAAATTTTATTTCTTTTCCTCTCAAGCTCCCTTTGACCCACCGAGCTGGGCTGTGGGCCTGGGAGGGGTAGCTGTCTTTAGAGTGACACCTGGAGTCAGGGATGGCCAGCAGGGTCCCGCGCCCAGCGTGGCTGGCCGCGTGGGCCTCACAAGTGGGCATGTAGTGCCGTGAATGAGGGCTGTGTACTTCCCACTCCACTCCTGTGGCTTGCACAGGCCTTGCCGGGCGGAGAAAGTGAAAAGGCAGGGATCCAACGAGAGGGAGGCAGGCCAGATGTTACACAGCAGAATCCTGACACCGGCCTACAGGCTGAGGGAGGAAGGCCTGAGCGCTCGGCCGACTTTTCAAATGGCTGGGTCTCTTCAAGTTCGAGAATGAGTTTGAAACGATACAGCTTCAAACAACCAGTGGAGAGAGAGAGAGTCCTGTGGGCTGGTTGTGTCTACCCAGGACACCAGCAGCCGTTGGGCAGATGGGAGCCTCCAGCCAAGGCATTCAGGGGAAAAACGAAATAAAAAAAAGAATTGAGACCCTTCGCCTGACCCTGACCACCCTCCTGCCCGCAGAGAGGGTGCCTTTCTGGGAAGGCGACGGGTCTCTGCCGCTGGGTGCGGCCGTCAGCTGTGCCCGTGGGCATCGCCGGCTGGCCAGTGCTGCTGGCTTCCCCGCGGCCCCAGGTGTGCCACCTCCACGCCGTCCTACCCCGCTTCGTCTGAATTCTCAGTTTCATCTGTCCTTTATTTTTTTTTTTTTTTGCTTTTCAGTTCATTTCCTTTGTGCTTTTTTTTTTTTTAACAAAACAATATTTTGACATCCTCTACGCCGCACAAGGCCCCTCTTCTCTCGATGGTGCACAATACAGCCTTCTCTTTCTAAAGAACTGTTTTCACAGCCCTCTCCTTTGGCTCTGAAATTATGTATATGTAATTGGTAATTAAAGGTGCGAGCTTTTCAATATAAACAGTATTGCTCAATGCTAGATCATTAAAGGGAAAAAGAGGCACGGAATAATTACCTTTTACGTTCTGACAAACCTTCGCCGAGACCCGCTTTTCCCCCCTCGAACCGCCGAGCAGCGTGCGGGCTGTGATTACATCTCTACCGTGGCAAGGCATCTTTTCATAAGATAAATTGGTAAATTAATTATGTGGCATTGTCTTCCAACTCCTTTTTAAGGAAACTCCCGATGCCTTTTCCGAGTGTAATTAATGGTTTCTGGGCCGGGCTCGGGGAGGGCTGTCTTCTGAGCGTGGCAGGCGCACCGCGTGGAGACAACAGGTTGAGGGTGTCCGGGTGTCTGCAGCACACACGTCACACGGGCACCTTGCCTTCCCCACGCCCCGGCCTGCGTCCACACACACGGGCTCCGGCACCCACAGACACACAGCCCGAATGCTGGCTCTGTAGGCCGCCCGCAGCCTCAGAGTTTCCCGGAGACTTTCTGTTCCTCGGCTCAGGGTGGCCAATGAGATGGCTTTCACCGAGTGTGTCCACCTCTCTGTCCCTCTCGGGCCCTGGCCTCTGGGCCGTGCCTCCCGCCAGCCTTTCCCAGTGTTCCTGTCTCCCGGGAGATCTGCGGCCTCTGCCTGCTTTGACCCCTCCTGGGCCCTGCTGCTTGTCCAGCCTGTGACACTGACAGTTTCTTCAGCCCCAGGGGGCATTTGGACACTCCCTCCCTGTCCACCCCCCTTATGGATGACTGTGGGTGCTGCCCTGGCCTTCCTCCCTTTGCCCTTTGGGGGGGATGGTCTTGGAAGACATTTATTAGCTTCAGAAATATAGCCCTCTGCTTAATCATCATCATCATCATCATCATCTGATGCTAAAGAAATAGCAATACATAGAGTGGGATGACTGACCGAGGGCAGGGGACAGTGGGGAGTTGGCGAGGACACCCGGGGCTGCTGGGGGCTGGGCGGAGGACCAGCATCCTTCTGCTGTGGACTGTGCTCACTGACGGGCCGCTGATGTCTGTCAGGGCTCTGTTTCCTTTTTGGGGTTCAGCCAGGTCTCCGGTGAATGGAGAGCATGTGATTGTGTCTGAGTGGACACAGACTCCCGCATGGTCCTGAGCTGCAGCGTCTGTTGGAGTTCCTTGAGGGGAGAAGTGTGTCCAGATCCTTCTGAAGCTGGGGTCCCCGTCTGGCATCGCTCTGGGGTGTGGCGAGTCCTTGGACAGGGCTGGTTCTTGGTGAAACTGGCTCGTGTGTTTGCGATCGTCTGCTGTGGGGTGGGAACGGGCAGAGAATAAACTAGACCCCAGGATAAATCATATCCACACCACTTCCGTCCACGTCTCTGCGGCCTGCGTGTGGCCCCTCTGCATCCAGGAGTGACGGGCCACCTTGTGGGGGTGGGTGGGGCAAGGGAAGGCCTGCACTGTGAGCTGTGACCATCTAAGACATCTCTGTCCCTCCCCTTTCTGTCTCCAGCAGAGGCTGACCATGTGGAGGCCGCCATCCTCGAGGAAGACGAGGGTCTGGAGATAGAGGAGCCTGGTGGCCTGGGGCTGATGGTGGGTGGCCCGGACCCTGACCTGCTCACCTGTGGACAGTGTCAGATGAACTTCCCCTTGGGGGACATCCTGGTTTTCATAGAGCACAAGAAGAAGCAGTGTGGTGGCCTGAGTGCCTGCTATGACAAAGGCCTGGACAAAGGCAGCCCGCCACCCATCCCCCGCTCCGAGCTCAGGAAGGTGTCCGAGCCCGTGGAGATTGGGATCCAGGTCACGCCCGACGAGGACGACCACCTGCTGTCCCCCACGAAAGGCATCTGCCCCAAGCAGGAGAACATTGCAGGTAGGCACCCCCGCTCACCGCCTGTCTCCTGGGACCATGTCTGCCTCTCCCTTCTGGGGACTTGCCCTCTGGTGCTGGGAGGGCCATGTGCAAAGGGTCAGCTGGTTAGTGGGGTCGGGCTTGGGGCGACCGACGGCTGACCAGGCTTTGCTTGTGGTGACGGGGCTGCGGCTTTGGGCCACTGAGTGTGGTGTGGACATTCCAAGGCAGCGTGGGCCTCATGGCTGGTGGTCTTGGCCTGGTCCAGGCTTTGGAGCCAGGCGGTGCTGGGTTCAAATCTGTGCTTGACAGCTTGTCTTCCTGTCTGTAAAGTGGAGCTGACAGCTTACTCAGCGGGGATGGTGTGAGGGTTGGATGGGCCGTGGGGTGTGGCAGCTGGCGTGGATGAGGCTGCACGCTCACCTCCTTCCTCTCTGGGCCTCAGTTTCCCAGCCACGTGAAGAGGGCTGGCCCCTCAGCCGAGGCCTCTCTGAGGCTGGTGGATCTGAAGCAGGGATGAGGGTGGGTCACACTGGAACGATGAGCCCTGAGGGAGTGTGCGTGTTGTCCACAGGCCCCCCTTGTCCCACCTCCTGGACAGCTGGTCCCAGCACCTACACTTCAGGCTAGGGCCCCGGCTGCAGGTGTGGATGTGGCCACATCTGGCCTGAGCGCACTGCCGCCTCTCTCCTCCTAAGGCCCCCTCTGGGCTTCAGCTTTGGGGCAGGACTGTGTCCCCCTTGAGCGTCTGAGCTGGAGGCCGTGGAGGAAGGAGGGCCCTGACTGACCTCTGGTGCTGGGCAAGGCGGCATCAGAGTGTAAAGAGAGCTCCATTCCACCGGTGGGCACTGCTGGGCCCGGGCCTCATTTCTCCAGTTGTCACTGGCGTGGGGCGATGTCACCAGCAGGGCGCCCGGGCCTCAGTTTCTCCAGTCGTCACTGGTGTGGGGAGAGGTCATCAGCAGGGCGCCTGGGCCTCAGTTGCTCCAGTCGTCACTGGCGTGGGGAGAGGTCACCAGCAGGGCTGTGGAGAGAAGGGCTTGCTGGGTGCTTTCCTGAGGACCTCCTTCCCTTGGCAGCTTCCACCTGGTGGTCAGCTGAGAAGGTGTGTCCCCTCGTGGGATGGTGAATGCACTGAGGGTGTGGGGAGGAGGCGTTGGGAACTTCTGGAAGGCTGGGCCCAGTGTGGCCGGCTCACTGTGTCCCTTGTGTAGTTGGTTATGGGCAATGCCACAATCCCTGCACCCAGCCAGGGCAGCCGTGTGGCCTCGGGCCTCACTTTGCACACCTCTACCATGGGGCCTGGTGGCCTAGTGGGTAAGGGGCTGAGCTGCTAAACCCAAGGACAGATGGTTCGTCTTCCAGCTCCTCTGAGGGAGAAGGATGGGGAATCTCCTCGCCAGTGTGTGATTTACAACCTCTGACAACCAGTGGGAGGGTCAGCGGTGGGTCGGTTCTGACCTGACGGTGGTGTGTGGAGATCTGTCCTCCAGGGAGGCTGTGGTGGTCTGTGGCGTTTCTGCAGGCAGGACCCCGGTGGGAGGCCTGGGGAGCAGCTCAGTGGGGGTGTGGCCTTCTCCCTGTCGGGGGGCAGGGATGGAAAGGCTCACTGTCCCTTCTAGATGCAGAACGCAGGCGACTTTGAGCACTGGCTGTGTGGACGAGGGAGGTGTGTTATAGTGCGGCCCTCAGCCCTGCCTCAGGGGTAACTGTCCCCTGGAAACACCTGGCTCAGCCCCTCACGCAGACAGAACTTCAGGGTGCAGGGAGGACAGACAGCTGGGGAGAGCAGGCCCCTGCCTGTGCCCAGTGGCTGAGGTTTCTTCTTCTGCAGAGCATGCCCAAATCCTGGGCTTCTGCGAAGATGCCTCCCGGTCAGCAGAGGCAGGTGTGCGATGTCCTCACGGCCAGCTCGGCCCACGTCGCCCCCTCCCTGCTTCTGGGCTGTGATAGCGCCACTGCCCGGTATCAGCGCTTCTCTTTGACAAGTGACGAAATCCTGACTTGGCTTTTTCAGCTCAGCCACAGGACGGATGGATTCCTCCATTCCTGCAGAAATATGTAAAACCGCCCCTTAGAAGTCGAAAGAGATATGTTTGTTCAAAGCATTTAGAATGTTATTTTAATCAAAGACAGCAAACCGTGGACATGCTGTGTCAGCCGAGGAGACGGCTCGTTCTAACGGTCCAGCCCATCTCCGTTCCCTCTCGCTCCCGACTTCCGCACCAACTTTTTCCCCCTCCCTCAATTCTTTTTATTTAATAAAAAGGAGAGATTAAAGAACAAAACTTCAGTGGCTCAAATGTAGAAAGTAATTTAATATGGTGGGAGCATTAATTATTTTAGCGTAATTGAATCCCGAGGACTGCAAGCCGCTGCAGTTTTGCGGACAAGCCCTGTTTATTATTTCTCTGTCTAGATACACAGTAAAGAAGCACAGATAAGTTTCCGTTATTTATTGTAAAATAAATGCGACGATTCATGTGTAAAGCGAGTGGCTGAAGATAATTGAGTCTTTATGGTTAAGAGGAGGGTGAGGGGTTGTGGGCCTTCTCCGCCTGGGCGTCCGGAATGGTTGCCCCCCCCCACCGCTGGCCTCGCCGAGCTGGTCCTTGAACCCTGGTCCTTGGCGGTGCCTGCGACTCTCTGAGATCCAGCTGCTGTTCCCCGGGCCCCTCTAGCCCTGGCCAGTGGCTGGTCAGCTGGTGGCCGTCGATTTTTAGGACCCTGCCTCCAGCTTTGATTGGCCAGTCTAGGATGACCTGAGATCTCTGCAGTGGACATGAGAGTCCTGTCTTTCCTGTTGTCCAGAGAGATCCTAGAGACGGACTAGGAGACCCTGTCCGCCAGCAGCAGGGGTCTCCAGCATGTCTGGAAACCTGCAAGTTGAGGGCTACTGGATTGTGCTGCCCTCAGAGGGACTCCAGGGATGGACTGGGAGGAGGAGGATGTCGGAGTGTGAAGGGCTAAGCCTCTAGGAGTGCATTCATTCACTCATTCATTCATTCATTCACTAAGTGGCCTGCGACAGACTCCCGTCAGAATGCGGCAAGTGCATGCGAGCTCAGCCCGTCATGGGAGCGTGGTGGGGCAGGGCTGCGTGCTGACAGGTGACTGCAGCCTTGCCCTTGACCATGGACCTGGCCCCTGTCCCTCAGTGGCTCTGTCGGTGGATCAAGCCATCCCTTGGAAGCACAGCTGTGTGGATGGCTGGCCCCAGGTGAGCGGTCAAGTCTGCCCTCTGAGGTCTGCTCAGTGGCAGCTTCATCTCCCAGGGGCTACCTGCACCTTGTGTCCTTCTGGGGTGTCTCCTTCCGCCAAGCAGCTTGGGCAGAGCAGGGACCATCCGTGTGGAGGGCTCAGAGGGGTCCAGATTTGCAATGAGCTCTCATCACGGAGGCAGTTGTCTAGACTACCCCCCAGGAGGGGTGGGGAGAAGGAGTGCTGGCACATGGGTATGAGGGTTTGTGGGGGAGGCTGTGCGCTGAGCCCCAGCTGGGCCCTGCGGTCCTCGGGCACAGAACTGGACCTTCCGGGTCTGGGAATGCACCTGGGAGCGGTTGTGGAGTTTGGACCTGGTGCTGGCGAGAGTGTCAGACTGTGCGGTGGAGCTGGGCCCTCTCCCCTGCTGGCAGGCTTGGTCTGGCGTGTGTCTCGGTGGTCCTCTTGGACCAGGGAAGAGTTCCCTGGGAGCCGGGGGTTCTGGTATCAGGGACAACGCCAGGGTGAAGTTAACGCCTGTCCCGTGTTAAGGTTACGTGATAGCAGCGCTGGCAGCTCTTTCTCCCAAGGAGGGGCCAGGCGAGGAAGGAGTGTGGGCCGCTGAGTTGGGGCTGATGTCTGGTGCCTCCCTGACCAGTCTCCTGACCAGTCTCCTGTCTGTCCTGGGCCCCTGTTTCTCCCTCCACCCCCACTTCCCCCTCTCATAGTGAGGATTAAAGACAGATATTTGTGGTCAAGGTAGATGCCAGCGACATGGAAGCTTCTGGAATCCCCGGCTCCTCCCTGGTCTTGCTTTCCAGACTGGACACTTCATCTCGGGCGCCAGATACCCTCTCCACGCCCCATTCTATGGCCACTGAAGGGAAGAGGCTTTCTTCACGCCATCAAGGCCGGACGACGGGCCAGAGGAAGCAGGCTTTCTGTGCGTCATCCAGTGCCTTTCCTGCCCTCCCGCCGTAAGCCGAATGTCACTGTTCTGGCTGTGAGCAGGAAACAGGCAGCAGTGACAGGAGGTGGCAGAGCCCCCTGGGCTTGGAGGTGGCAGGCTCTTCCCTCTGGTCTTGTTCCTGCTGCTCCCTACCCCTTCATCTGGGGCCCAGGAAGCTTGAAGAAGGGGGCTTCTGGGCAGGGCTTGCACAGATAGGGTGTGAGGGGCCACCTGGGCTCCCAGTGACCCATCACAAAGCGAAATGTGTCAGAGGGAAGAGGGCTTCCTTCCAATTAGGCGGAGGGCTTAGATGCTGCTATGAGAACGTTCGTTCCAGACTTTTAAAAATAAGTAAAATAAATGTGAAAAATATATTAGCTCGGCCATTTGGAGAAGTGAAATGACGTGCTTGTGCTGGGAGCTGGAGATAAACCCCACTCACAGGTTGTCTTTTTTTTTTTTTAAAAAAAACAAAACAAAACAGGCACTTGATATATCTAGAGTTGTTATTTTCCTTCCAAATTAAGATTAGTGAAATCCATGTGTGTGTGCCACGGATTACCTCTTTTGTTATTAGATCGTCACAGCTCGTTATTAATGCTGTCTGGACCCAGGAGAAGGCAGTCTCCTGCTGGCCTGCACAGTTGAGGCCCGGGCTGGGTGGCTGACCTTCCAGGGGTGACCCCACAGTGGGGGCAGGCATGCTGGGTGCTGACAGAGGACTGGGCTCGTTATTGCTCCCACCTCATGCCTCTATCATGAGTGAAGCCTTTCCAGTCGCCTCTTGAGATGGTGCAGCCAGTCAGGGACTGGAACATGAGGTGGACGGTTCAAGTCTCCCCAGAGTGCCGTGTAAGCAAGGCCTGGCGTT